TGTTTTGAGGACTAAGCAGGTTAATACCAGTACATACAAAGGGTTAGAAGGGCTATCTAGCATATATTAGGCACAGTGTTAGCTGCTTAAAAACACTTTACCATTCAGAGTATAAAATATTCTTTTTCACACACACACACACACACACACACACACGCAGTATCATTTGAGCTCTTTCAAAATAACTCTTGCCCCTGACCAGGCATCTCAATTGGTTAGAGCATCATCCCAATATGCTGAGGTTGGGGTTTGATCCCTGGTCAGGGCATATACAAGAATCAACCAGTGACAGCATAAATCAGTAGAACAAATCGGTGTCTCTCTCTCCCTAAGTAAATCAATAAATAAAAATTTTAAAAAATAACTCTTAAGGCAACCAAGGCCCAGAGAGGTTCCGGGACTTCCCCAAGGTCACACAGCAATTAATTAACAAAAGCATGTCTGTAATGGGGACCTAGGACTCAAACCTGATTTTTCCTGTATTCTGAGTGCAGGGCCTAAGCCACATCTGACCCCAAGGACGTCACACACAGCTCTGCACCCTGTGGGCCTTGAGAGGTGACTCATCCATCACCCATAGTTCTAGAAATGGTGTGTGCTAGAACAGTGTGACTGCGTTAACATTTTGCCCCTCAATTTCTTCCTAATGTTCTTCCCCGAAATTGCTCTAAGACTCCAGGTCCCCATGGAAACCTCAGGAAAGACTGCCTGCTGACTCTCAGTGAAATTCTGCTACGACTGCTTCCTTGATAACAAATGGATGTTATTAAAAGCCTGGCCCCAACAGGCGCCTGCTGTAGCTCATGGCAAAAGCGACATTTTCCTTGGACTGAGAGGGTGAAAGAGGCAGTTCACTCCCCAGCGCTAGCTACTGTGAGCTTGGAGGGGAGGGGGGAGCGGAAACCGGAGCCCCAGCTGTCACAGTCAGACGCAGGACCGGTGCTTTCCATACATGTTTACGACGGGGTGCTGGACGAGGTGTCCGCGGAGAGTGTGAGTGACATGAATTTAATCAACGCGTGATCATCTCTGCTCTCTGCAGAAGTCATTTGTAATGTGCTTTCCAGACCAAAAGGTGGATGAGTGGGGCTTGGAGTTGAGGCTTGAAAGACTGCAAAAGAAACCTGTTTGAAAAAGGACAGTGTCATCTAAAAAAAGAAACAGAATCAAAGGGATGAATTCAAAGAGCAAGAATTTAGCAGCACTTTTCCAGCATGACCCAGAGATCCAGAGGAGGGAGGCTGGATCTTCCAAATTCCTTTGGGGACAGGAACTGCTTCTGCATTAAATATCTGAGGGCTGTTTGTGGAGTACCTACTGTGTCACCCTGTACTGGGCAGCAGCAGTAGAGGGGAGAATGAGGCAAAGAGAGAGCTCCCAGTCTAGTGAAGGGAGATTTTTTTTTTAAGGCTTTAAAACAAATAAATATACAGGATAATTTCAGTTAGTGATAACTGCTATGAAGGGGGGTGGGGCGGGGGAAAGTAGTTAAGTGGCCTGATGTTGATTTGGGGCGATCAGCTTTCGATAATTGATCAGAAAAGGATCAGCTCAGGTGGAGATGAGACCTGAATGTCAGGGAAATGTGAGCCACAAGATGAAGAAAAAAGGAACTTGCGTCTGAACCCTGAATAAGGGCAAAGTTCATCTGGCTTACTTCCCACAAGGCTCCTGAACCTCATGCAAAACAAGAGATATAAATGGATATCTGTTTTCAGGGTTCCTGAACATTCTGTGAAGGACAATCATTCCACAAATATTGTGGGGCACTTAGAGGGAGGCTTGCATGAGCACAGAGAATCTAACTCCACATGGTACCTCACACAGTCTTATTTCCAACCCAGTCAAAATACCATTTCAAGTGTTTGAATGAGCACTGTATTATTTAGAAAAGGAGGGCTGAATCAAGAGTCATCAATAATTCTGTGACTTAAAAAAAAAATACACTTTTGCCTCTTCATGAACAGTTAGCTCCACATTATACTTTTCAGGCAGGTATGCAACTCGGCTCCACAGGATCATTCAGGAATCCAGGCTGATGGTGGCTCTGCTATCTGCAGTAAGTAACTTGTGAGGTCGTTCTAGTCATCACCATTCCATCCAGTAGAAAAGGGGGAACGGTAAGAGGAGCAGGCAGGCAATGCTTCACAAGCCGGCCCTGTAAGCGGCACATCTTTCCCCTTACAATGGTGAGAACCTGGTCACATGGCCACACCTAACTGCAAAGGAGACTGGGGAATGTGGCACAGCAGCCGCAGACCGGTATAACTCTTTTACTCCAGAACAGGGACAGCAAAGTAGAGCCGGGGTCAACTCCTCAAACCCCCTGCTTTTATAAACGAAGTTTTACTGGAGCACAGCCACACCCATTCATTTTCACACATTCCACGGTGGTTTTACCTGCTACAGAGGTGGAGCTGAACAGTCCTGACAGGGACCGTAAGGCCTGCAAAGCCTAAAATGTTTACTATATGGCCCTTTATAGAAACATTTGCTCTCCCCCTTCTCAGGAAAAAATACAACCTAGAATGAATTCGGTGAGACAACTAGAAGTCTACACTTTCAAAATATATCTCAGAAATTGTTATAAAGACACAAAGACGCCCTAGCTGATTTGGCTCAGTGGCTAGAGCATTGGCCTGGGGACTGACGGGTCCCAGGTTAGATTCCGGTCAAGGGCACATGCCCCGGTTGCCGGCTCAGTCCCCAGTGGGGAGAGGGCAGGGGG